CGCTGACTCAAATGACGAGTAATGACCCAGCAGTGGGTATGAAGAAGACACGCAGAGGGTCCCTGTTTGCTGGCTGTTTTTTTGCCAGTCTACTACCGGCACCTCAAAGCTTTTTGATCTGCTGATCCAAGAGTCGTGTTGGACTCTGCCAGCCCAAATGCCTGTATCTTGTAGCACTCGAGTCCCATCTAGGCCTGTCCTATAAGGAGATGACATCCTTGGTGTGAGTGCTACAGTTGTACCATAATGACTATATGAGAACTGACCACAGCGGCTCGTGATCCATGTTGGGCTGTCTTCAAGTGGGAACATGAACCAGCCCCAGTGTTTTCAACAGTCTCATGAACATTATCAGCTGATTATAATTAAGTCAAATAAACAAAAATCTGTTTGTTCCATAAAAAAACAGAGGGGAAACTCTTGAAGCCGTAAAAATATTATATATATATAATAAAAACAATGTATTGAATGGCAGCCATAGAAGGAAGTAGAAATATAGAAGGACACACAAGAAGACACGACAATCGAAACCATAGTTATCGTGCCGGGAATCGAACCTGTCACCTCCAAATTGCGTGTGTTCTCTCACCCGCAAGTTTATAAGCACTACTTCGTGAGCACTTCAGCAGTACTACATGTTTGAAATTAGGAAATCATTCATAGTGTTTGGACTGTAGTTATTTACGATGGTTCTGTAAGCATGTTCTTCTATATCTACTGGTATCAAAGCTGGTGGCTGACTTAATTCTGGGAGTATCTCTAACTAGAGTTTCCAGGTGTCCACATTTGATACTGTAGTGGATCCCCCTGTCATCTTGTTTCTAGCAGAGGAATGGCTTTCTGCACTGATAATAATATCCCGAGATACTCTTTAGATATAATCATAAACTTAAGTGATATCTGCAGTCTAATGGCGGTCCTGAAATAATGAAGATGGCGATCGTTCACAATTCTATCACTTCACCACAAAGGAGTTTCTGTCAGTTTATAAAATTATATGTAGGTAATCACGTGGATATACTGTCCGGGATAGGCAGGAGTACAGTACAAGGGAATAAAAAAGCAGATTTTCTGCCTACAAAAGCGATAACTATGGTAACACTCGTACTGGACACAGGCGATATTCTAGAGACCACATATGAGCATATGTTGACTGAAAACACTCGAGTAGATCAAATGTGTAAGAATGTATCAACAAGGAATCAACAGTGGATCCGGTAGGAAGAAACGTGTGAGAGGAAGAGAACGACGTGTGTGTAATCCAATTGCTACGGAAACAGATAGCATCTACACCTAAGACGGAGCATCTGCGGTTATGCCTGATGTGCTGTTATGCAGATTCTCAAATCAGTATTTATTATGAAATTAAAACTGATATGGTATTGAAAGCCGAGATACTGTCCACTATTGAAAGCCGAGATACTGTCCGCTATTGAAAGCCGAGATACTGTCCACAATTGAAAACAGAGATACTGTCCACTATTGAAAGCCGAGATACTGTCCACTATAGAAAACAGAGATACTGTCCACTATTGAAAGCCGAGATACTGTCCACTATTGAAAGCCGAGATACTGTCCACTATTAAGAGCCGAGATACTGTCCACTATTGAAAACAAAGATACTGTCCACTATTGAAAGCCGAGATATTGTCCATTATTGTGAGCAGAGATATTGTCCACTATTGTGAGCAGAGATAGATATTGTCCACTATTGAAAGCCGAGATATTGTCCACTATTGTGAGCAGAGATATTGTCCACTATTGTGAGCAGAGATATTGTCCACTATTGTGAGCAGAGATATTGTCCACTACTGTGAGCAGAGATATTGTCCACTATTGTGAGCAGAGATATTGTCCACTATTGAAAGCCGAGATATTGTCCACTATTGTGAGCAGAGATATTGTCCACTATTGTGAGCCGAGATATTGTCCACTATTGAAAGCCGAGATATTGTCCACTATTGTCAGCAGAGATATTGTCCACTATTGTGAGCAGAGATATTGTCCACTATTGTGAGCAGAGATATTGTCCACTATTGTGAGCAGAGATATTAATACTGTCAACGGTTGTTGAGTTGAACGCCGCATTTACATTTTCGAGTTTTAATATAAACTCTCCTGTGTACGTACAGATAAGAGGTATGATTTTGAGAAGAAGAAAGATGAAGACGACGAAGAATAAATAAAGCCTAGCTAACACTACAAATTCACAGATTCTTCATCTTCTCTTTAAATGGACAAAGCACCTACTTTCCAAAGCAGAAGAAAAATGTCTACTAAACAGAAAGACATCGAGTGTGAATTGCCTACACTAGAGTAGTCTGTGGAAATACCTCCATTGATGGAACAAAGCTATCCTTGTTGTTCGGCTGCAGGTGCTGCTAGTATGATAAGTGTGTTCAGTTCTTGGATACACTCAAAACCACTTCAACCTCAATCATCCCCTGCTCTTACCGGTCTCTCTTCTCCAGCTAACACAGTCGCTAGCCAAGTGAGAAAACCTCATTAGAAGGAACATGGAAAGCAAGACTTGCCAGAAAGGACAACTCGGAAAGACCGACTGAGTAAAAAAATGTGGTTGTTGAGCTGGCCTTCAGTGTCCATTACCTTGACATATCAAAGGGAACATCTTTCTACCCAAGATAACTTTAGCAAATTTTTTTTTTTTTTTTGGGGGGGGGGGGGGGGGGTGGGGGGGGGGGGGGATATGTTGCTGATATCAGCAAAATTAATGTATGTCAGTGTGGGAGGTGTTTTGCGCATTGGCTGCATTCTTTGCATTCTGGAGACTAGGCTTGTGTAGTTATGTAACATTACCTGTATTCTTGAGTTTAAACATGTACTGTCAAAGTTTGCCATGTTAAATGGATTCTTTACATTCTTGAATTTAAATATATTTTGTCGTATTCGCAGTTGAGCATAGTTTAGTCTTTTTTTTGTTTGTGTTAACTGTGGCTCTTGACTGATGATCCAGAATAGCACTGTTATAGAGATAGCATATTTCATTATGCCAGTCAAGGTCTTCGCACATTGGGCATTCCCATACGTGCTTATTCCTCCGATGCAGCAGCCATTTCAAGGTATCTCTACTAATTGTTTCCGTAAGAAGTTGGTTATAGTATCACAGTTTGTTACTTCAAAGACGACATAGGCGTGCTTCACTAAGCTCAACTCCTCGGTCATGCAGTCGTGTTAGCGTCAGAGATTCAGTATTATTTCCCAACCTAATCCGTACAGTGTTTGTTGCCAAGACAGTTGGAGAAGACAGTGTTTGTTGCTAAGACAGTTAGAGAAAACAGTGTTTATTGACAAGACAGTTGAAGAAGACAGTGTATGTTGCCAAGACAGTTGGAGAAGACAGTGTTTGTTGCCAAGACAGTTGGAGAAGACAGTGTTTGTTGCCAAGACAGTTGGAGAAGACAGTGTTTATTGCCAAGACAGTTGGAAAAGACAGTGTTTGTTGCCAAGACAGCTGGAGAAGACAGTGTTTGTTGCCAAACCAGTTGGATAAGACAGTGTTTGTTGCCAAGACAGTTGGAGAAGACAGTGTTTGTTGCCAAGACAGTTGGAGAAGACAGTGTTTATTGCCAAGACAGTTGGAAAAGACAGTGTTTGTTGCCAAGACAGCTGGAGAAGACAGTGTTTGTTGCCAAACCAGTTGGATAAGACAGTGTTTGTTGCCAAACCAGTTGGAGAAGACAGTGTTTGTTGCCAAACCAGTTGGATAAGACAGTGTTTGTTGCCACGACAGCTGGAGAAGACAGTGTTTGTTGCCAAACCAGTTGGATAAGAGAGTGTTTGTTGCCAAGACAGTTGGAGAAGACAGTGTTTGTTGCCAAGACAGTTGGAGAAGACAGTGTTTATTGCCAAGACAGTTGGAAAAGACAGTGTTTGTTGCCAAGACAGCTGGAGAAGACAGTGTTTGTTGCCAAACCAGTTGGATAAGACAGTGTTTGTTGCCAAACCAGTTGGATAAGACAGTGTTTGTTGCCAAACCAGTTGGATAAGACAGTGTTTGTTGCCACGACAGCTAGAGAAACAGTTTTTTTAAACTTGAGCCTGATAGTTTAGGGCGGCCCAGCTGTTGTTGATTGATTACAGGCCACGCTTTCATTCATTGGTCACGATACGGCAGCTGATTACAGGCCACGCTTTCATTCATCGGTCACGATACGGCAGCTGATTACAGGCCACGCTTTCATTCATTGGTCACGATACGGCAGCTGATTACAGGCCACGCTTTCATTCATTGGTCACGATACGGCAGCTGATTGTCAGTGAGTTCGGAGGTGACTTACAAACACCATGGAGGTTGGTAAAGATCTAGGACAATGAGAGCATGGAGCAATGTCTGTTGGCAAAGGGCCTGTTATACGGTCTTTCTAACCTGCCTGCAATGTTCTTTTTTCAATGCCCTTTTTCTAAATGCCCCACAGGTCGCTAGCCCACTTTGGAAAGACATTCTCCATATTGCCTTGTCTTGTGCACCAGCCTATCAAGTGTCAGGGTTTATACTGATGGCTTTAAATGATGCCTTTCGCATGTCCCTCAAGCGGTTGTTCCTCCACTCCTTTCTTATTTAAAATGTATTTTGGCCACCGTGAGAGCGTCTACCACCGCGAGAGAGTCTACCACCGTGAAAGCGTCTACCACCGTGAGAGCGTCTGCTACCATGGAAGCGTCTTCCACCGTGAAAGCGTCTACCACCGTGAGAGCGTCTGCTACCATGGAAGCGTCTTCCACCGTGAGAGCGTCTACCACCATGAGAGCGTCTTCCACCGTGAGAGCGTCTGCTACCATGGAAGCGTCTTCCACCGTGAAAGCGTCTGGCACTGAGAATCGCATACCTGGTGCAGGTATCGTGGATTTCAAATTTTAGGATTTTTTTCCGTTTTAAAAAAAATAAAAAAATTATTAGCCTTTTAGCCAGCCATTTCTCTTTTATCTAAGTATCTGTTTAAAAACAAATTCAAGCATTATGTCATTGTGTCTCCCTACAGGTAGAGAAATCTTTTGACCCAGAAGAAGCCCTAAAATGCCTGGTGTGGATACGAGAGGTCACGGGAGAAAACATCCCAGTTGAAGAAGTTATAGACAGCAAACAACAAGTGGCTGAGTTTTTCTACAAAACCCTCAAAGATGGCGTATTGCTGACCAGGTCGGTTTGACTTCTCATTCTTATTCTTCCACATCTACTTTGTACCACGAGGCGTCAAAGTTGAGCAGACGTTAGGCAACCGAACCAGGGCCCGCTTGGTTCCTTGGTATGCTGCGATGTTGTCGAGTCTCAGACAGTCTTCATTCAGTGACTTCCTTCATAGCCTTTATCAGATGCAGACATATGTAGATTGTTCACTGAGTCAGTCGTTTGGTCAATTCAGCGTTGTGCCTTCTGTGAACTGAATGCAGACTGTAGTGAAGTTCCAAAACACTGTCTCCTACATGCCCATATTTTACTGCATTCAGATCAGCTTGTTCCTATTATCTCTTGATTCCCTAATCCAGCTCTTTTATTATCTTTAACTTGATTGCTTCCCTCCAGCACGTTCTTTTAGTGGTTTCCCGTGTAGCTAGTTTCTGTGCACCTCTCACTTTTCAACATCCTGCTACGGATCCCACATTTTGTTTAATCCCGTTGACAAACGTATTTTATTTTATATACAATAAAGTCTCTCTCTCTCTCTCTCTCTCTCTCTCTCTCTCTCTCTCTCTCTCTTTCTCTCTCTCTCTCTCTCTCTCTCACCCACAGGCAAGCACGCACGAACACCCGCACGCACGCACGCATGCACACACAAAGGATTTTTCAGGTGAGAGGTTTGTTCGGAAATGAACATGAATCCTAGTATTCTACTGTTCAACAGAAGGCAAATATTGCTTCGCCACATCAAGAACATGTCACAGTATGACACACCCTTTACCACATCAAGAACATATAATAGTATGATGTTGTCTTCACCACATCAAGAACATATAATAGTATGATGTTGTCTTCACCACATCAAGAACATGTCATAGTATGATGTTGTCTTCACCACATCAAGAACATGTCACAGTATGATGTTGTCTTCACCACATCAAAAACATGTCACAGTATGATGTTGTCTTCACCACAACAAGAACATGTCACAGTATGATGTTGTCTTCGCCACATCAAGAACATGACATAGTGTTATGTTGCCTTCACCACATCAAGAACATGTCACAGTATGATGTTGTCTTCACCACATCAAGAACATGTCACAGTATGATGTTGTCTTCACCACATCAAGAACATGTCACAGTATGATGTTGTCTTCACCACATCAAAAACATGTCACAGTAAAATGTTGTCTTCACCACATCAAGAACATGTCACAGTATGATGTTGTCTTCACCACATCAAGAACATATCACAGTATGATATTGTCTTCACCACATCAAGAACATGTCACAGTACGACCCAGCCTTCACCACATCAAGAACATGTCACAGTACGACCCAGCCTTCACCACACCAAGAACATGTCACAGTATGATGTAGCCTTTACCACATCAAGAACATATCACAGTACGACCCAGCCTTTACCGCATCAAGAACATGTCACAGTACGACCCAGCCTTTACCACATCAAGAACATGTCACAGTACGACCCAGCCTTTACCACATCAAGAACATGTCACAGTACGACCCAGCCTTTACCACATCAAGAACATATCACAGTACGACCCAGCCTTTACCACATCAAGAACATGTCACAGTATGATATTGTCTTCACCACATCAAGAACATGTCACAGTACGACCCAGCCTTCACCGCATCAAGAACATGTCACAGTACGACCCAGCCTTTACCACATCAAGAACATGTCACAGTACGACCCAGCCTTTACCACATCAAGAACATGTCACAGTACGACCCAGCCTTTACCACATCAAGAACATGTCACAGTACGACCCAGCCTTCACCACACCAAGAACATGTCACAGTATGATGTAGCCTTTACCGCATCAAGAACATGTCACAGTACGACCCAGCCTTTACCACATCAAGAACATGTCACAGTACGACCCAGCATTTACCACATCAAGAACATGTCACAGTACGACACAGCCTTTACCGCATCAAGAACATATCACAGTACGACCCAGCCTTTACCACATCAAGAACATGTCACAGTACGACACAGCCTTTACCACATCAAGAACATATCACAGTACGACCCAGCCTTTACCACATCAAGAACATGTCACAGTACGACCCAGCCTTTACCACATCAAGAACATGTCACAGTATGATGTTGTCTTCACCACATCAAGAACATGTCACAGTAAAATGTTGTCTTCACCATATCAAGAACATGTCACAGTACGACACATCCTTTACCACATCAAGAACATGTCACAGTACGACACAACCTTTACCACATCAAGAACATGTCACAGTACGACACAGCCTTCACCACATCAAGAACATGTCACAGTACGACCCAGCCTTCACCACATCAAGAACATGTCACAGTACGACCCAGCCTTCACCACATCAAGAACATGTCACAGTATGATGTTGTCTTCACCACATCAAGAACATGTCACAGTTTTAGGATGAAGGATTTCACACACACACACACACACACACACACACACACACACACACACACACAGTTCATTCTCTGTAACGATCGTCTTCACCTACGTGCCAACGCAAATTTCCCATCACCGGTGATCAGTAACATCTGTCTGTCTGGGTGATCAGTAACATCTGTCTGTCTCGGTGATCAGTAACATCTGTCAGTGATCAGTAACATCTGTCTGTCTCGGTGATCAGTAACATCTGTCTGTCTGGGTGATCAGTAACATCTGTCTGTCTCGGTGATCAGTAACATCTGTCTGTCTCGGTGATCAGTAACATCTGTCTGTCTCGGTGATCAGTAACATCTGTCTGTCTCGGTGATCAGTAACATCTGTCTGTCTCGGTGATCAGTAACATCTGTCTGTCTCGGTGATCAGTAACATCTGTCTGTCTCGGTGATCATCAGTAACATCTGTCTGTCTCGGTGATCAGTAACATCTGTCTGTCTCGGTGATCAGTAACTGTCTGTCTCGGTGATCAGTCTGTCGGTGATCAGTAACATCTGTCTGTCTCGGTGATCAGTAACATCTGTCTGTCTCGGTGATCAGTAACATCTGTCTGTCTCTGGTGATCAGTAACATCTGTCTGTCTCGGTGATCAGTAACATCTGTCTGTCTCGGTGATCAGTAACATCTGTCTGTCTCGGTGATCAGTAACATCTGTCTGTCTCGGTGATCAGTAACATCTGTCTGTCTCGGTGATCAGTAACATCTGTCTGTCTAGGTGATCAGTAACATCTGTCTGTCTCGGTGATCAGTAACATCTGTCTGTCTAGGTGATCTGTAACATCTGTCTGTCTAGGTGATCTGTAACATCTGTTTGTCTCGGTGATCTGTAACATCTGTTTGTCTCGGTGATCTGTAACATCTGTCTGTCTGGGTGATCAGTAACATCTGTCTGTCTGGGTGATCAGTAACATCTGTCTGTCTAGGTGATCAGTAACATCTGTCTGTCTAGGTGATCAGTAACATCTGTCTGTCTCGGTGATCAGTAACATCTGTCTGTCTCGGTGATCAGTAACATCTGTCTGTCTCGGTGATCAGTAACATCTGTCTGTCTCGGTGATCAGTAACATCTGTCTGTCTCGGTGATCAGTAACATCTGTCTGTCTCGGTGATCAGTAACATCTGTCTGTCTCGGTGATCAGTAACATCTGTCTGTCTCGGTGATCAGTAACATCTGTCTGTCTCGGTGATCAGTAACATCTGTCTGTCTCGGTGATCAGTAACATCTGTCTGTCTCGGTGATCAGTAACATCTGTCTGTCTCGGTGATCAGTAACATCTGTCTGTCTCGGTGATCAGTAACATCTGTCTGTCTCGGTGATCAGTAACATCTGTCTGTCTCGGTGATCAGTAACATCTGTCTGTCTCGGTGATCAGTAACATCTGTCTCGGTGTCTCGGTGATCAGATCGGTGTCAGTGTCTCGGTGATCAGTAACATCTGTCTGTCTCGGTGATCAGTAACATCTGTCTGTCTCGGTGATCAGTAACATCTGTCTGTCTCGGTGATCAGTAACATCTGTCTGTCTTGGTGATCAGTAACATCTGTCTGTCTCGGTGATCAGTAACATCTGTATGTCTCGGTGATCAGTAACAGTAATCTGTCTGTCTCGGTGATCAGTAACATCTGTCTGTCTCGGTGATCAGTAACATCTGTCTGTCTCGGTGATCAGTAACATCTGTCTGTCTCGGTGATCAGTAACATCTGTCTGTCTCGGTGATCAGTAACATCTGTCTGTCTCGGTGATCAGTAACATCTGTCTGTCTCGGTGATCAGTAACATCTGTCTGTCTCGGTGATCAGTAACATCTGTCTGTCTCGGTGATCAGTAACATCTGTCTGTCTCGGTGATCAGTAACATCTGTCTGTCTCGGTGATCAGTAACATCTGTCTGTCTCGGTGATCAGTAACATCTGTCTGTCTCGGTGATCAGTAACATCTGTCTGTCTCGGTGATCAGTAACATCTGTCTGTCTCGGTGATCAGTAACATCTGTCTGTCTCGGTGATCAGTAACATCTGTCTGTCTCGGTGATCAGTAACATCTGTCTGTCTCTGTCTGTGATCAGTAACATCTGTCTCGGTGTCTGTCTATGTGATCAGTAACATCTGTCTGTCTAGGTGATCAGTAACATCTGTCTGTCTATGTGATCTGTAACATCTGTCTGTCTATGTGATCTGTAACATCTGTCTGTCTATGTGATCTGTAACATCTGTCTGTCTAGGTGATCAGTAACATCTGTCTGTCTAGGTGATCTGTAACATCTGTCTGTCTATGTGATCAGTAACATCTGTCTGTCTCGGTGATCAGTAACATCTGTCTGTCTCGGTGATCAGTAACATCTGTCTGTCTCGGTGATCAGTAACATCTGTCTGTCTCGGTGATCAGTAACATCTGTCTGTCTCGGTGATCAGTAACATCTGTCTGTCTCGGTGATCAGTTACATCTGTCTGTCTCGGTGATCAGTAACATCTGTCTGTCTCGGTGATCAGTAACATCTGTCTGTTCTCAGTCTCTGTCTCGGTGATCAGTAACATCTCTCTGTCTCG